GTAGATTCCCATATAATCTCCAGCATTCTGTTCAAATAAAAAGTCATATACCTGGGCACCTATTATATGGGAAGGTTCAAAGCCCAGCGCCGTCCGACATCCGTTGGACACATAGAGCACATTGAGGCTAGGGTCGCGTGTATGTAATCCAAGAAACGACCCGCGGCTAGCAGCATCCATAGAGTATATTGTGGCTATTCAATAATATAATAAGGTTGAACACTTTACAAAAGGAGAAAAACAAGGTGTGTCAAAGCATGCATGTACATGTCAACATCGAATTAAGGGGCATTTCCGTATTTGAAACAAGCTTGGATAGATGTTGAAATGTCTAGAAAAAAACAGGGTATTAATCTCAGGCGTTGCTTAATCTGGAGTGTCACTATCGCTAGCCGCCAATGGCACTACCATTGATGACGCAGTATCTGACCACAGCAACGTCCTACATGATGCTACAGCTAGACAAGCTGCAAGTGTGTAGATCTGGGGTTTAGAGCCGCCGTAGTGTATGGTACAGATTAAAGCAAAAGTAAAAATTGTCTGAGGTCTCTTTTCTTCTGTTATAGCTGCGTTCTAGTTCGCTTCTTTGGCGAGCGTACAAGAGTGTCGGGCGAAGCTACGGTCCCCTTTGATACGTTCCGCTTGAGCGGCGACGGCTGATGCGGGGCGTTCTTGGCCGACGCCACGCCCAATGACGATGGGGCAGACGACGAGCTGCTCGACGTAGCAGGCGTTTGGCCAGGCAGCGGCCACTGGAACGGGCTTGCTCCTTGGTGGCCAACTATAGGCGTTGACCCAAACTCCATCGGGCTGTAGTTCTCGTTTTGCTGGTACACGATTGGCTGGAACGACGACGGCGACGGCAGGCTCTGCACATACTCGATCAGCATTGCTGTCTGCGGGCCTGGCTCAGCTGCTCCAGTGCTCGCAACCGCTCGTGTCGCCGTATTGACTGCCAGCGGAAACCGCCGCGCCCGTGGTGGACCCTTTGTCCCTGCAGAAACGGCAGGGACAGCAGAAGCCTCGCCCCGCGTCGATGCGGTGTCCGGCGTACTGGCTGTTGTCGGCCGACTGCTTCCTGTGGCCGATCGCCGCGCAACCGACGACCCTGCAGTGTCACTACGCGCCCGAGAGCCATACGGAATCTCCACTTGAAGGCGCGGCGGGTTCGGCCGCGCTCCAGCATCAGTGCGTTCCCGCTCGCCGTCGTTTGCGCTTGGCGGCTCGTCGTCGCTAGCCGCAGCTGCGTCGGCTTCGCCCGCAGACTCGGGCTGCTCATGCGTGTACACGTCTTGGTTCTGGTCAAACTCTTGGTCCTGATTGAACCCTTGGTCTGCGCCCGGCGTGTTGTATGCGTCGCCCTCGTCCTCTGCAATCGTTTGCAGCGACCCTGGCTGATCCGCCATGATTGGCTGCTGATAGTGCTGGCTCGTCTCTATCGCCTGCGTGCTGCCGTCAGGCATGCGATACAACATGTACTGCGGCGTTGATGGAGGATTGGCGCCCACCTGCCCAGCGCCTGTCACCCGCGAACGGTACGAGTCCATTGAGCGGCCCAGCACCTGCCCTGGCTGGTACGGCTGGCTGATCGAGTACATCATCGACGCCGACGGTGCAATGCCATCAGGCCCTAGTGCCACCGACACCCCTGGCTGACCCTGTGGCGACGGATATGCGTTCAGCTGCTGGTATGGATATGCACGTAGCATCGGCTGTGCATATGCAAACTGCTGCGGATGCTGATGGTGTTGCTGCTGTTGTTGCGAGGGCTGGATGGTGGCCTGCGGCTTGACCGACGACAGCGCGTACGGGTACGCCGACATGTTTGGGGCAAACGCTCCTGACGACATGACGCGCGGCATGTGCATCGCCGATGTTGGCGTGGGCCCTGAATAGTACATGGCGTTGCCTGACGCGTCCAGTTCGCCTTGAATCGGCGAGTACACAGTCGGCATGTGTGGTGTCTGCGGTGCCATGTACGCTGACGCCATTGGCAGTCCTGACATCTCTGCCGACGCGCCAAACGGAATCCCCGCGTCTCCGTACTGTGTCCGCTGTCCTTCGTTCACGTGTGGCGAACGTATTGATGCTGCTGCTGCCGCGGCTGCTGCTACAGATGAACTGGGTCCGTCAAACTGCGACGCAAACTCGTGTGCCTGGATGCTGGGTGTCGATCCGTGGTGGCCCAGCGACGGCGCGCTCTGTGGCTGCACCAAGTCGTCGTCATCATGCTCGCCATCGCCGTACATTGCTGCGCACTGTGCATTTGTCAGGCTTTCACTGGGCTCGCCAAAGTCCGTGTACCGCATAAGCACCTTGTCCATGTTTGTCGACGCATACTGCACGAGCTTGTTCTGCGAGCTGAATATCACGACTGCAATTTCGCTGTCGCACAGCACGCTCAACTCGTACGCCTTCTTCAGCAGCCCCGCTTTGCGTTTGAGAAACGTCACCTGCCGGTTACGTTCATCCTTTATCGTTTGGATCTTGATCTTTTTACGGCCCATTCTTTATATTTTAGGTTGATGCAAGGGGGTTTCGAATCAATGCCAATAAAATTATAGCCCGAGAAATCAACCAAGGCGTTGGAAAAGGGGGAGGGGAAGGGCCCACGGAACGTTCTGCGCGTAAAGCAAAGGCTAAACGGAGCTTATTTAGATCTTTTCCACCCCTAAAATTAAGCACAAAGTTTTATACGTTTATTCCTGTAGCCGGGGAAGAAAAATTAGTGACCCAAACTAGAGAGAATAAATCTAGTGTGCAGAATAGACAGATAACAAAAGGCGAAAAAGGGGCTATCGAACCACTAGAGAGAAGAGGAGAAAAGATGTGGTTCGTCCTGTCTGCGTACAGAAATAGGTGAAAGAGTGTAAATAGAACAGGACAAAAAAAGATGCTGTGGAAAAATAAAGTGGATTTACGCCAGGAATAAATTTGTGTGCAAAGAAGAAAGAGCGGCGTTGGCTAAAAATACACCTTCAAGTCTCAGGTGATTGGCCACCGGACTTGAGCCGGCCTTTGATTTCCCCACCAACAATGTAAATCAAGGGCCAATCTAATCAGTAAATAATTATGCCTTGAACTCGCCGTCGTCGTCAGAGTCGCTGGAAAGTGGGAGCGGGCTGGAGAGGAATATTTTTGGCGGCAGAAAGCGGTCCAACAATAGTTGCAATGCATAGATGGTATAATAGACAAGCACAATGGCGGCTAGAATTCCGATGGCGAATACCAGAACCATCCAATGATGCTGGGTATAGTCAATAAAGTTGTAGGTAAACCACCCGTTAATGGCCTTGTTAAGATATGCCAGCGCAAGATACAGCACAACCACAAATGCCAATATCGCAGGATGAATCCAATGCGGCGAAAGCACCATTGACCCGGCCACCACATCAACCAAAATACATCCGAGGTTGGCTGCATGCACCGACGCATTTAGCCACTGGTGCTCCCTGCCCACATATTTGTCTGCGTTGTACAGCACAGCCCAAAACACTGGAGTAACCAGCATTGCAAATACTACAACAGACTCGAATAAAAGCCAATGAAACAGCTGCAATGTTCGCGGCATGTTTTGAAAGGACACATGTGTTGAGCGCCGCCAGAACAACACTGTGTGGATTAGCGAAGACGCCATATAAGCGACTAACCCTGTGTAGCAAAGATACGTAAAGTATGCAAAATGCCCGCTCATCACACCTGTTTGTACATCGTACACAATAGTTGCTATCCACACGGTCAGCGTGTAGAGCAAAAGAACAGCTCGGACGAGTACGAGACATCCAGTATTTACTAGTCGAGGTGTAGAAACTCGTCTAACATCTAGTGTATGCAACCGACAGACCCGATGCCACCGCTGAAACTCGCGCTTTTCACTTGTATAAAACATCATGCTAATATAAAACAAGAATAGAGACAACCTTATATCACAATTGTATTTATACCACGGCAATCTTTTGTAGAACAATAGCCTTGAAAAAGCCATCCGAACAATATTTACAATTTGATCTGGAGTGATCAGTTCTCTTTTGCTCTTTTTTGCATAAATATTTTCACAATAACAAAAAATGGCTTCAATTGAACAGAAATGGACGGCCGAAGAGCTGGCGGGCGACAGTGTTAGCAAAAAGGACCTGGCCGCGTTTCTCCAAGAGAGCGGCAGCAACGAGTTTCTGCTCAAGCACAAGCTAAACGGCAAACTGCCAAACGTGGTCAAAACGACCAAAAAGCCCCACCTAATATCAGCGTACACAGACCTATTCGCCACTCAGCAGTTCCGCTCCGCCGACGAAGCATCCGCAACGTCAATCAAACAAGACAAGCCTATTGCAGCCGTAGAATCAAAGCCCGACTCGGACAAGCCCGAGGAAATAAAGTACAATAAAGTTGTTCTCAAGAAAGGAACTGGAGACCGCTGCCCAGCCAAGGGCGACCGAGTTAGCGTATTCTACACGGGCATGCTTGAGGATGGAACTGTGTTTGACGATAATACGGAACACAAGGGCCGCAAGCCGCCCACGCCGCTCGTGTTCAAGGTCGGAACGGGCCGGGTTATTCGCGGCTGGGACGAGTGCTTGATGACTATGGTTCGCGGCGAGAAAGTCAAGCTGACTATTAAGCCCGAGTGGGCATACGGTCAGCGTGGTCATGAAGCCGGCGGTATCCCGCCTAACGCGACTTTGACTTTTACTGTTCAGTTGGTGGACATTGCGTAAATATTATTTGTTTAATTGAAGTTTGAGGTTTGCTGGTCTGACGTCATAGTGAAACGATTTACTGTGTCAAACATTTTGTAAAGTGTTAGGAATGATTGATTGTGGAGTGCATTTCCATGGTTTTGGTTTGATATATAAGAATAGTGGAGATGTCAAAGTAACGATCAATATCCATTTTCCATCTTTTTCTTTACACCTTCTTTTTGGTATAGTAACCCGCCGGCATATCTTTTTAATTTGTAGACAACTCGCGAGTTGTACAAATTAGCTTGGAAAATGCTAATCGGTGTGGTGGCCGAGTGGTTAAGGCTCCAGGCTTAAGTCCTGGCATCGTAAGATACCGTGGGTTCGAACCCCACCCGCACCATCTTTTGCTGCCACCGCAGCCACATTTTTTGTTAGAAGTGATGTCTGCGACATTGTTGAAACCCCAGTTAAAACGGTATATTCATAGCTTTAGTAGAACGTTTTTTATCGAGAGCGTTTTTTTATCATCCAAAATATCATCCATCAATCGGCTCGACTCATCAGCCCAACCTGTCAGCTCACTGAGTCGGCGAGCTGCAGGCGAGCCATGGCTTAATGAACCGGGAGACAAGAGTAATGGCTGAGCTGGTTTTTTGGTAGTGTTTTTCTTCTCTGCGTTGTTTAATTTAGCAATTTTTAACAGTTTACATTACAATAATGACAGCGGAAGCGGTCTGAGATGACCGTTCCGTTAATTCCAGCTCCTCTGTATACAGCACTCTTGCACACAGCTTCTTCGGTACACTGCTTTCTCGTGCACAGCTTATTGGTATGCAGCTCTTAGGTTCGCTGCTCTGGAAGTGCGCAGGTCTTTTGGTACGCTGTTTTCTTGGGCGTAGCTCATTCGGTTTGTTGCTCTCTTGTACGCGACTCTTTGGTACAACATGTTCTTATGCGCAGCTTTTCGTATGCAAATCTATTGTGCACATCTCATTTGTAAATGGCGTTAGTAGTACATAGCTCGTTGGCGCTCTGTATTCTAGTAGTCTGGTACAATGGTGGGACATAGCTCTACTCTGCTTGGCGACTGTAAATGTTCGATTAATATTATTTTAAACAAATACATTGCATGTTAATTTTATCAATGAAAGATATATATACAAAACCAATCAATACATTAATAATGATATGAGCACATGTTCAGCACACCGAAGAAATGTGTACCACTAAAGCTATGTACCGCTAGAGCAGCAAGCCAAAGAGCTGAGTGCCATCAAAGCCGCAGTTCATAGAGCCCCAAAGGCAAACTGCCGCTCGTTTTATTAAAGTAGTGTAAACTGTTATAAACTACTAATTTAAACAAGGGCACCACAGTGTCAACATAACATCTTGCCATTGACGGATAATATTTTTATTACTCACTATTTTAAAACGACTGGGTTGGAGTAGGAACAACTAAAGAATAAGCAAAATAGCAGCAATCAAACTGTGTTTTTGTGAAGATAAAGACCAAATTTAGCAATAATATGCCAACAGAAAATGTTAATAACGTTTGTGGTGCTGCTGCGGGTCAATAGCGCATTTTAAAAGACATTCCCAAATTAAAACTAAAGAAAAAAAGACCATGGCCGGAACCGCTCATAATAAAGTCGTTGGGAAACGAGTAAATATGTTGCTTAGATTGAATGCTTTGATCATCAAGCTAGTTGGATGCTAGATAATCTCATGGCACGACAACGTTTCATTTAAATAATTTGTGATTGTCGTGTTGACAGTTCTTGTTGCTATTGCTTCTCTCACTTATGTATTGTGTTCACAATTGCTTAAGCGGGCATCTAAAGACATAAACTGATGTCACAAAAAACATCAAATTGTGTATGCTTAGCACTAAGCACACTTGTTATTCGACTCAATGTATATTTATTGCATGGCATCGGCAAATAATGTAACAGACGAACATTTACTAGCTTTAATTAGTTGACTTGCTGATATTTAGTATTATCAGTGACACACATATATCTATTTTTTTCTGAATATATGGAACGTTGGAAGAATTTATGTTACGATCTGATCTCGTCGACTGAGATGTACCGTTGTATGGTTGACTCTATATATTGTCCTACTGACTAGTTGACTACTAACTCAAGAACTATATCTATCCGTTGCGCCTAGTCCATTGTCTTGACTATTCCCGATCTTTCTCACCTCGGTGGCTCGGTGGTTCGGCGACTCACTGATGGTTCAGCAACACCACATTTATAACTCTTATATGCTATATGAGCGCAGAAAACGCAGAAAAAATTCTTAAGCAATTTTTTAATTTCTAATTAATACTACTGTTGCGGGACCCTCAGCTGGGTCAGTCTCCCGACAACTGACTGTCATTTACTCTGCGATAGACCGGTCATCATGCCAAGCTGGTAATATTTTGATCTGGGTTTCGGTGATTACAGTTTTTGTCCGTTTGGGGATGGACACTCGGGTAATCAAACCGCGTCACCACAACAGCCTTAGCGACAGCAGTGCCAAAAAATTAAATAACAAAGTACTTCAGTATTACGTTTAGAAATGCTTGTGAATAAATTCTCACTAAATTTTTCTTTGCCCGTCCGTATTAGCTTTACTTTAGTTTAGTCGCATATTAATTATTTCAAAGTCAAAGTAGTTATTATACGTAACGTTATCGTGTTTATTTTGCCAGTACACATTATTGCTGTGCCGTGTTTTCTGGTTTTTTTTCTTAGTTGTACGCATTCCATACGCAGCTATTTTTCGTAACAATATCAAGTGTTCGTTCTTCATAATTTTTTGGCAACAAAAGTTCTGCACAACTTTACACCATTCATAGTGTTACAAATAATGGCGGTACACAAACGATGCACACACCAACAAAAGACTAAACAAACGGAATAGTAAAATTTAATACTGAGGATTTACAATGCTTCTTGTAAAATGCTCAGTGATATATATGTTCTTGTGTTGTTGTTGCCGCCGCTGTTGTTGTGTCCACCGCTTCTAGAACACACCGGTAATTACCTGAGCGCACATCCCTAATACGACATTAATTGGCGTCACAATAGCAACCATCAGTTTCCAACAAAAATGATTTTTGGGACAGATCCATCAGTGACCAAGTGATCACTGGCCCTGGGTCAGCTCACCGGCTGAGGCTCCCGCAACAATAGCAATAAAGTATTTCACAACCGGCTCATGTCATTGTTAGTATCATGATATCAATGTTTACGTTTCTGGTTCCCAGGCCGTTCTTGACAGCATTGTTGACACCATATTGATATTTCCGGTTCCCAAGTAGACTATAATTTGCAGTCTGCAAGTGATGGTTCACAATGGCAATAGTTTTCTATATAAGCTCGGATGGGAATACCTCAGAGCAAGAATTGTTGAAGAAATATTGAAGTCTCCTTTTTGATAGCCCGCTTGAGCAGTTGCCTGATTAAAAGTCTTGACAAAGCAAGTAAGTATTATTAGTAAACGTTGAATACATTTTATTGAGCTTTTATGCTAATTCAAATTTTCAAACATAGGGAATACCTTTTGAAGAACCATAAATGAACGCAAAGAAGCAAAAGACATCAGCTACACCTGCTGATGCTACGGACGATAAGCCCAAACAGAGCATGCAGAACCCTACGTGCATGTGCGAGTCAGTCGAATTTATTTACTCACCACTTGGTCCCAGCACCAGTGCCAATACTGCTACGGACAATAAGCCCAAACGGAGCACGCAGAAACCTAAGCGTATGCGCGAGTCAGTGGAATTTATTCGCTCACCACTTGCTTCCAGCACCAGTGGCAATGTCGCTACTACCAACGCTTTAGACCCGGACGATGACAATGACGATGACGATAATATTCCCATTGACAGACGTCGCCCACTACTGCTGGCCACCCTCGCTCAGCGAGCAGCGGGGCACATTCTGCCTGCTACAAGAAAATGTGATATTCCAGACTTTTCTGTTTATTCGCAGAATATCTGCTATGCTAGCATTGGCCCTACCGAATACCGACCTTCCAGAGGAGTGCAGGGCGGTGAACGACAATCCAGGGAAGGCAGTGTTCGTAAGGACAAACTTCTGATTGTGTCTGCTGCTCTTAAGAGAGGAGCCCATGAATTAAATTCATCGCACGACTTTGCCTTTCTACAAGAAATCAACACGTCAATTTCGCCAGTGAATCTGCTGCAAAACGAAATCTCAGAGTACTTGGCGTTTGCTGGTGTTCCTCGTGGTGGTGATCGACTATACGACACGGCTGTACTGGTCAGCAAACGCTTTAATTCAGCACAGCTGGAAACTGAAGCCAGCTGTAGACGTGCAACATTTGTCACAGTTTCTGAAGTGGGACTACTGCTCGTCGCAATACATGGCCCGTTTATAGACGTACAGACCTTCCACCATGACGTGATATCGACAGTCGTGCTTTACCAAGAGGCAGGCTGGACACCAATTATTGCCGGAGACTTTAATCTTGCACCGACGCCGGCAGACCGCCGTGGAGAAATAACACGTGCTGAAAAAGGTCTTATGAGCCTCTACACAGAATTGTTGAATCTGTGCAATGTATGTGAGGTGTTGACAGATCTAAATAATCCGCGCTCGACGGTAGACAGGAGCACTTATTTCACATTTAAAGGTCGAAGTGGAACATGCAGTACATATGTGTCGCGAATTGACCATATTTTAGTTCCGCTACATTTGCTTGACATGAAGCGAGCAAAATATGGCCACAAGAATGTCAATGATAAATTCTCCGATCACAGAGAGATTTCTCTCTACGCACCTCAGACACCACCAGGAAAGTTCTTTTCCCGTGCGGCATTCCGAATGTCACACAACTTTTCGTCAGACCCGGTCCATCTTGTGAAGATTGAGCAGATTTTCGGCGAGTTTGATTTCACTCTAACAGGTCATGCCGCGTTCGAGAAGTACCAAAAGTTACTTTCTGATATTTTGCAGTATGCATGCAATCAGAACAACCAGCGCCAAAACCACTTGGAGCGTGAGATCTTACGGTTGCATAAGGAGCGTATGGAACTAGGAAGCGAGCATAACGGCCAGGGCTGGTCGATTCACCAGGACAGGATACATGTTCTTAAAGAGCGGGCAGTTGCACTTGCTAAAACGGCTGCAATAGATGTTCAGGAGCGAGTAGCTCAGACCTGGTTCAAGAAAGGCGACAGGGACTCATTCTGGCAGTCACTAATTACAAAGCGACACATGCACCCACGGCGGATGCGTGCAATTGTTGCTCTGCAATACAAACTGCCAGCAGGGTTTTCAACCAGTAATCGCAACCCAGCAAATAATCTTTCAACAAGCTTTTACCCGCCCAGCCCGACTATTCCGAGTTACACGCCACAGCAGATTCATGAGATGGACA